TACACATTCCAGTGATGAGTGCTCTGGAAGAAAACAAAAGGAGGTGTTGGGTACTGTTTTGGACATTGAAGAAAAGACAGGGACTTATGGTAGGTGCTAAACGGCAGTAGACAGCACTTGTCATCTTGTTCCAGAAGCAAGTATGTTACCCAAGACAAGCCCAAGAGTTCCCTCTCAAGATTCTTCATACGAGGTCTCCAAGGTACTTAAATTCCTAGGGGAAGAAAGTGGGGAACAGAACGAGGGAGCCTTGGGGAGTTAGTGTTTAGTTGGTACAATTTATTTTAGGAGGGACAGTTCTACAGACTATGGTGATGGCCGCCAACAGTGTAAACACAATTAATGCTGATGAACCAGACAGGAAAAAGTGGTTAAAATGATACATTTTAACTGGGTGTGGTGGCACACAAGCCTGCAATGTCAATACTTGGGAGGCAGAGGCAGGAGGATCAGGAGTTCCAGGTCATCTTTGGTTATATAGCGAGTTAAAGGCCAGCCTAGGCTATAATATAAAAGGCACTATTTCAAAACCAAACAAATAATAAATTTCATTGAATGATTTTCCTACAAACAAATGAAAAAAAATCAAAGGACAGAGCAAGCGAGAAAGCTCACTTTGGGATGGAACGGCAGTAGGAGAGAAGGGTGTAACCAAAAAGAACGGGCAGCGGTGGGAGAAGCACTCTGTGCTCCAGTCCTTCCAACTACCCCCTCCGCCCTCAGCTCATCCTCCTCGCGCTTCTTAGGTTAGCCAACAACAAATACTCCCTAGACAAATGCCATCTTTTCTGAGAATCCTGACAAATACAAAATGCAATAAACTTTAGAACCGAAGCCTTGCCTATTTTCAATCAATTTTGTAACTGCCAAATTCTAGTAAGAATGCCTCATGGATGGCATGTCTGTAAATGCTCTTTGCTCTCCTCAAAACCTATCTTCTAACTCTTCAGACAATGACATGTTCTCCTGTTGTGCTTTGAAAGTCTCTTTGATATTTATCTTTATTTTGTGCATTTGAGTGTTTTTCTGGAATGTGTGTCTGTGCACAGCACCAATGGAGGTCGGAAAAGAAATGGAGCTGCAGATTGATGTGAGCTGCCATGTGGGTTCTGGAAACTAAACCAAATCCCAGCCCTCTGGAAGAGCAGCCAGGGCTCTTAACTGTGGAGGCATCTCTCCAGCTTATATTATCTAAGATTTTAATTAGACCCACTTACTCTTGAGAGTAAGTGTGATGTGTCATGCTCGCTAACAGTGTTGATAGAGGTTTCTTCTGTGTGCTTTGTAATTGTGGGCCAGGAGCTCATTGAAGTTTTATCTGTGAGAAATTCAGTGCTATGCTACTGCCGACCATCTGCCCTTGTTTCAGGCACACACTGTAGCAATGTCAGCAGCTCGACATCAGGTAGTTGATTTCTTAGCTTGGGGAAGTTTAATCCTTAACAAGTGCAAACTTTCCACTTCCACCACAACCCCTGGACTTCCAGTACAGGCCAAGACAGTCAGCCTTTCACATCACCTCGGCTGGTGGTGTCTGAGATCATATCCTGTGGGTACTGAGGCTGGTAATTTCTTTCAGTGTAGCTGACGGTTGGGCTAAGCTTACCATGTTCTTATTAAAGTACCTTCAAAAACTTTATTCTACAGCTTATTATTTTGTTTCATAGCTGTATTTGTTTCGGCATTTGAAGTTGTCTTTTTAAAAGCTTGGCTATGTATTAGAGGAGATGAATTTCTGAGTGTTTTGGTAAGGGATTCTTTTGCATTATTTAGTCTGGGACCTTGCAGGAAAGCGTCCCTCAAACACTAAGGTTCAGATTATCTTCTTGGGCAAGCCACTGTCTTGTTCAGGGCTCTCACCTCTCTTTTCAGGGTTGTACGCACCACAGGCATACATACAATGTGTGATCAGATCAGTAAGTATTTCTGAAATGACAGAATGAGTCTCACCTTTTTCCTCACTGGTTTATTCATTAAACTCATTTAAACTAACTGCTGCTGATCTTTAACTTGATCTACTTTTGTTTTTATGTGAGTTCTTTTGAAAAACCTTCCCACAAATTTCCTAGTTTGAAGCAGGCCAGGCTTCCCAATGCAGGCCTAAATAATAAACTATACCCAGGCTCCTTTCACACAGATGGCAGACCTGTGCACACCGTTTCTCTTCTCCATGGACTGCACAGTAGAACACGTACAGTAAACCTTTTGTAGTTCTGATTATATTTCCACTTTACTAGGAATGCTGGTAATACTGTCATCTCCTAGGCATAAAATGCTGCAGTAATTCTTACTTTTTCAACTGCTAAGTAAGTTTTA